GTACCCTAGTGTAGTATAAAAATGAGGCTACTAAAGTCAGCAATAATTTGGCTGGGGGGAGTTTAATTACCCCAATTCCTGTCAAGTCACTTTGGGAGATAAGAGCAATAACTTGGACACATCTCTAACTCACTGTGAAATTTGCTTGTGTGCACCAGGAGATTTGTATGGGAATGTTGTAGCAGGTTTTGTTGCAAGTTTAGATAGTCCCTAAATCCATCTGCAGCTAGCATGTCAAATTTGTGGCTGGCGGGCTGCATGCCTCATTTATTCTGATCTACAGAATAAATTATATTCTTTATAAAATCAAATACCATACAGCAGTGCAAATTAATAAACTATCTCTACATTTATCAGTGTGGATGAATCCCACAAACAACATGCAATTAAGACTATATTTTGCAGAGGATCATTAACAAAAATTGTTCTTTTGATTGGAAGGAGTATTTCATGATAAAATAAACATAGGAGAAATAAATTTATGTAAGATCTGTTGTTGAATTTATGTTATTTTGGGAAAGTTTTTCATGGTTCAGTACTTGGTTATTTTAAGAATCGCATCTAATCAAAAGTGCCTCTTATTGCTCTCCAGAAATGTAGTACTCACTTTAAAAATGAAAAAATTTTAAAGCCCTCTGATGTATGGATGAGATGTATGTAAATATTTAAAATATATAACTTTATTTTTAAAATTTATCTTTATTGTAGAGAGTATTACAGGTGTCCCCCTTGTTTTCCCCATTCACCCCTTCTGCCCGCCTCTGCCTCTCCCTCAAGCCTTAAAAAATGTAGAGCTTTAATATGTATAGTGTTAAGCTATATGTCATGTGTTTTTTTTGTCAGACCATGCTCAAAAGTCTTTGGTGGTCTTCAACCTGTTTGACCGTACCAGGGCAAATATACTTAAGAGCAATTCAATTCTGTTTGACAAGTTATTTTATACTCATCTAATTTAAAGACTACTATACAGTAGTCTTGAAATTTAGGCCAGTATCTTAGAAAACAAACAAATAGCTTTGGTCAATGGTAACTTTGTTGTCTAAGCTTTTTCTACAACTTTTTTTTTTTTTTTTTTTTTTACAAGTTCTTTGACTTTTTTCCCCTCCCTTTAGCAATATATAAATGAATATATAGTTAATACTGACTTAGGAGTTAGACTCTGAGAGCAAATTTTTAAAGTTAGACTTACAGTTCATTATTTGCTTGTAATTTCTATTGTGAAATATTTGCTTGCCTTTAAGAATCATTTTTTGTTTAATAATTTGATGTGTAAGCTGGTTAAGTTGGACATGCTTCACCCTTCCAGCATGGATCTGCTATGCCTGTGATAAAAGGGGACCTGATTGGGCATTAGAAATCCTAGTTTCTTCATGAAAACATTTGGCCTTGGGCACATAAATTAGTCTCTCTGTATTAGTTTCCTCCTCTATAAAATTAGTTTCCACCACTTACCCTGCTTACCAAACAAAGTAGTATGGAAATCATATGAACTAGTATATCCCCACACTCTGAACTGTCAAGATTTATACACAGTAAAGTCCTGTTGTTAACCATTTTATAAATCATTGGTGTTCCCTGGTTTTTGTTTTTGTTTTTCATTTTTCTAACTTCAGTGTCTGCCAGAAGGAATTTTGGAATGAAGCACTATGGTTTTGTCTTCCTCCTTAATCTTGATTTCCTGGTGTTGAATCTGGGTTTATTCAGAAATATGTGTAAAAACATTGGCCTTCTGGGGGTAGCTCATTTCTTATTATTTAGTAAAGTTTAAGTACAGTTTTGCAAAACATTTTCTTTTTGCTAGTTTTTCACTTTTCTTCTTCTTTTAAAACCCATATAGTACAGTTCCTAGGACATTGTTTTAAGAGTATGAAGTTAAAGTATTAAAATCCCTGGGATTGAGTATAGCTCCACTGTGGCCCTTGGGAAAGCGATTTAGCTTCATTATGCTCCAGTTTCTTCATTTATGAAATGAAGGTGGTAATAATGCATAGTATATAAGGTTGTTATGTGGTTTAAATGAGATAATACAATTGCTTAATACAGGACCCAGAACATAGAAAATGCTCAGAATGTTTTAGTATTATTACATAATTATTAATAATGATTTCTGAAAAGCTATTCAACTTCCCACTCTTTTAAATGAAAGCAACATTTTAGTGTATTTTGATATATTCTTTCTATAAACACTTATATTTTATGTTTAGGATATAACTTTTAATTTTGTGGAGGGTTGAACTAGACTGTAGTTAAATTTAATATTTAAATGTTACATTTTAATATTCAGTAAGAAATGACTAATATCTAAAAATTGTTTATTCTAGTTTTTTCAAGCTATTAACCTAATTAACCAGAGTAAACTAAATTTAACAGCTTTTCTTTTCTTTTTTTCTTTCTTTCATTTTTTTTGAGAGGGGAAGGAAAAGGGAGGGAGGGAAGGAGGAAGGGAAGGAGAGAGAAAGAGAGAGAAACAGTAATGGGTTGCCTCCTATAAACCTACAACCTAGGTATGTGCCCTGACTGAGAATCAAACTTTGCAACCTCTTGGTATATGGGATAACACTCCAACCAACTGAACAACCCGGCCAGGGTGATTTCACAGGCTTTTTAAAAGATATTCCATGAACCAGGAAAAATAAATTATTTATCCTCAACTCAACCTTGTGATATAGAAATTATTTTTTTTCGGAGTTTAGTACTGAAGCTAAGATAATTTGTGAGACCTGCTATGAGAATATAAACACTAAAGAGGGCAAGATTTTTTTTTTCTTATTTTATTCACCATTGTATTTCTAGTGCCTAAGACAATGGTTGGCAGATAGTAGATGGTCTGTAGAAGTTTGTTAACCATTTAATTTTTAAATTTTTTATTTGTTGATTTTATAGAGGGGGGGGGAACATTGTTGTTTCACTTATTTATACATTCATTGGTATTCTTGTATATGCCCTGATTAGAGGTCAAACGTGCAACCTTGACATATCTAGCCAACTGAACTACCCATCCAGGGCTTGTTGACTATTTTAAATGAATTTTATGAACACAGATCCTTGTTCAAGCCTTAGTTTCCTGATGATGTTAAGTTACCTTACAGCTTGCCTATGAAGACTGCTTGGCCTTTTTTTTTTTTTTTTTTTTTTTTTTTTATTGCTGTCTTTTTAAAACTATTCTTAGGGTTCATTTTAAAACTGGTAGGCAATAGACATTTAAAAATGTTTTTATTGATTTCAGAGAGAGGAAGGAAGTGGGAAAGAGAGACAGAAACACTGATGAGAGAGAAACATTGGATCAGCTGCCTCCTGCACTCTCCCTACTAGGGATTGAGCCTGCAACCCAGGCATGTACCCAGACTGGGAATCTAACCTGTGACCTCCTGATGTATGATGCTCAACCAACTGAGCCAGGCCAATAGGTATTTTTATCTATCTATCTATCTATCTATCTATCTATCTATCTATCTATCTATCTTTTTATTAAAATATATATTTATTGATTTATTTATAGAGAGGAAGGGAGAGGGATAGAGAGTTATAAACATCTATGAAAGAGAAACATCGATCAGCCGCCTCCTACACACCTCCTACTGGAAATGTGCGGACAACCAAGGTACATGCCCTTGACTAGAATCGAACCTGGGGCCCTTCAGTCTGTAGGCTGGCGCTGTATTCATTGAACCAAACCAGTTAGGGCAGGTATTTTAAAATATACAACATTTATGAGAATGCCACTTGAATAAAGTGTGATGTCACCTTTCCAGCTCGTTGAGGCTTGTAGGTGAGAGATGATGTAGTTGAAAAACAATGGAAAGGTATGAGAACTGGGGATAGAGTGAGGAAACTAGGCAGCTTTCTGACCTCTTTATTGTAACTTAGTGCTTCTGCTTCAATGTTGTGGATTTCCTACATTATTAAAATGTAGAAACAATTAGTTCAATATATAAATAATTTTACACCTTATTTTGTTATTTTTATTCCTCTAAAGCTCTTTCTTTAGAGATATTCAGTAAGAATCAATTATGTTCATGTTTCAACTTATGTAGACTTTTAACCTTGGAACATGTAAATTATCTTTTTTTTTTCAAACTGTAACTTAACTGTGAACCCTAATTTACATATAAAATACAAGTGTATTTTTTTGTTATACAGTGAATTTTGCCATCTTTTATTATATTACTGTGTGGGTATCTTTCACAATTCTTGCTTATCATTGGTGATGTTTTCAAAAGATGACCTCTCCTTGTTCCTTCTAAATCTTATTCTAGGCTCTTTCCCCTAATACTCTGTTAAGAGCAAAACAAAATTGTCTGGGAGAAACTGATGTCTGTCATTTTCTTCAGTCTTCAGGAAAATAAATTAGAATTATTTTAGACTAGTCTAGTATTGCACCACCCTACTATTATCCTAATATTTTACATCTGAATTACTTCTTTGTTAACATAAATCTTTCTTTTCTCTTTCTGGAATTGAATAGTTGCCTCAATAATTTCTTCATATAAAAGAACCATTTACCTTAAGCAATCTGTTCCTATTAAATGTAAATGAAATCAGTGTATTCTAAATGCATTAGGGGACTTTTCTGTTAAGAATTCCTTTTGTAAAAGCAAATAATTACCTACAATTATGTTTTGGGTTGCTTTTTGTTTGTTTGTTTTTTCAGTTGTTAGTGATAGTTTTTTGTTTTATTTTTCTAGATTTGGATTTTCAAATTCAGGGTTTACTTAAAAAAGGGTATACTTAGAAGTGATTTCTAAGGTCATTTTGGAACTCTGTCTTCTCTGAATTAAGATGCACTGAGACAAGCAGTAATTGGAGGTTTTCTATACTGAATATTAAATTGGTTGTTTTCTAAGAAAGAAAATAACTTTAGTCTTCTTTCTAGAGTCCTGTGACTTACAGTCAGTAGAGGGGTTTTTAAAGATAACATCAGCCAGCTCTCATTATGATGACTATAATTTCTTTGTGCTTAAAATCTGGTTTTACTTTACCCTTCCTCTTTTGTGTTGCAGCTGGTGGATAGCGAGGTGGTCATGCTTTCAGCACACTGGGAAAAAAAGAAGACGAGCCTAATAGAGTTACAGGAGCAGCTTCAGCAGCTTCCAGGTTTAATAGCAGATTTAGAATCCATGACAGCAAATCTGAGTAAGTTTCTTGTTTGTATCTGTACATTACCTTTAGGAATTAAAATAATTTGGACTGGACCTGGTATAATTTCAAAACTTTCTAAGATTATATTAAATTCTTGGTTAATAGAATTTTTTAGAAAGTGGTATGTTCTAGTTAATTCCATATTCTGATTAAGGATTAGACAGAAAATGATTTAAAGTTTAGAAATGATTTCTAAAATATATACATCAGTAGTTTTTTCTGGCTCAGCTCAGCTCAGAAAACACAATTATAGTATTTTCGATTTTTAAAAGTGACAGGATTATTTTTGTGACATTAGCTCTTTGTTAAAAGTATAAGTATGGCAAATAAAAGGGATTTAAGTGACTTTGTCCCGACTATGGTCCCGTGTTTCCCCGAAAATAAGACCTACTTACAGGTTTCCTTCTGAGTGAAATATAAGGCATCCCCGAAATAAGGCCCCCCCTAGGCTAAACATGAGAGATTTGGTCCACTGATTCTAAAAGAAATGGAGTCACAAGAAATTCACCAGGAAATTCAGGAATTGGATTGTTATGATGATGTTCCAGAAGGTGATGACATGATTGTCATTGAATAAATGAGTAAATTCTTGATACTGTAGGATTCAGTTTGTCTGGTTTGTGTTGACAACTACCGTACTACTGTACCGTATACAGGTAATAAATTTCCTTTATTTTCATTTAATAATAAATGTGTACCGTATTCTTCTACATAGAAAAATAAGACATCCCCTGAAAATAAGACCTAGCGCATTTTGGGAGCAAAAATTAATATAAGACACTGTCTTGTTTTCGGGGAAACAGGGTACATGGTAGTTGTTGCTTTTCAAATTAGGTCTGCTTAGAGCATCAAGTCTTATAGTATGCTTTTTCGCCCCCTCTTCAAACTGAAAAGAGATCAAACAAATCCACTTACCAGAGGGTATCTGTTTGACTAAAGTTGTACCTTGTGGAAGTTTATATTTTTTTGGTATTTGTTTTTTGTTTTATTGCAATGAATTTTGCTGATATTCTTTATTTCTTGAGCTTATATTTAGAAAATTAACATTTATATTTGACAATGCTACATCCTAGGATAATATTATGGCTTACTACTTTCTAACTAAGCTTGAGGTCTTAAGGGTTAGGAGCTATCTGCAGAGGAGATAACGTTTTGAGCTAATAATCTGGTCAGATCCAGAAGCTAATTGGTTTCCACAATAGAATATCCAGCCAGCCCTAAAGAGATGTAGACATGGTAAGCAGGCTATGCTAAGGCTTGCAGCAACCATTTGTAACCAGGTGGTGGCTGTTGTGTAACAGAAATAGATAGCACTTCTGACTAGGTGGTGTGGTTATACAATTTTGGCAAGCCTGTGGGTTATAAAAGCGGAAATTCCTTTGACACCTGAAGTGTCTCATGTTGAGCTTTAGAGTGATCTCAGCCTTGCAGATGCCAGCACAGATTAAAGAATATTTTTGTCTGCCTGCCAGGGAGTGATAGCTGAAAATTCTGGCACCCTCTTAAAGGGCCAGCACACAAAATTCCCTGCAGAGCCACTCACCTTGTGCTACAGCAGCAGGAGGGTGAAGTGGACTGGAGCTGTGAGAGCAGAAGACAGGACTGGAGACTGGGGGATAGAGCTCAGAAGTCAGACACCCCAAGTTTTTTGGGCTGAGTTATTCTTTTATGCAGCTCAGGACATTTACCCCACATAGACATTTGCCTTGCCTAAGGGGAAGACAGTCAACACACCTTATTGGAAAACACCTTGTTCTGAGGTGATTTAAGAGATTAAAAGTAACAATTAGCCTTCAGGCAGAAGCAACTGCCCCACCCTGTTGAAAAAAAACTCTTATTTCACCTCAGGAGGATTGCCTGGGGGGGCAATTCAAATAAGAACCCTATTGGCCTATAGGCAGAAGGCTCTGGAGGCTTTGAGTTTTTGTCCGATCTAATTAGTCAGAAACAACCTTTAACACTCTCCTACACTAGAGATTCAGAGGTATAGAGGATCTACTTAATACATAGTTACAAACCCAAACAGTCAAAATGAGGAGACAAAGAAACAATCCCCAAATGAAAGGACTAGAGAATTCTCCAGAAGAAGAGATAAATAAGCAGAGTTAAGAAAATTATCTGAAACAGAGTTCAGAGTAATGATGTAAAGATCCTCAACAGCATGAAAAAAAGATACAGTATCTATGAAAAAGCACAATCTGAGGTAAAAAAATGGCATAGCACAAATAAAGAACACATTGAAAGGAATACATAGCAGATTAGGGGAAGCTGAGGATTGAATCAGTGAATCAGAAGACAGAATTGAAAATATCACTCAATCAGAGAACCAAACAGAAAAAACAACTAAAAAACAGGAGGACAGCTTAAGGGAGCTGTAGGACAATGTGAAACATAACAATATTAGAATAGCAGGTGTGGCAGAAGAGACAGAAAGGGAGAAAGGAATAGAGAATGTGTTTGAAGACATAATGGCAGAAAACATCCCTAACTTGGTAAAGGACAAAGTCACACAAGTTCAGGAGGCACAGAGAACCCCAAGCAAAAAGAACCCAAACATGCCCATGCCCAGACACATCACAATTAAAATGCCAAAAATTAAAGACAAAGAGAAAATCTTAAAAGTAGCAAGAGAAAAGTGTTACTTACAAAGGAGTTCCCAAAAGGCTCACATATGATTTCTCATCAGAAACTTTACAGGCCAGAAGGCAATGGCATGAAGTACTCAAGGTAATGGAAAGCAAAGATATGAGACCAAGATTACTATATCCAGCAAGACTATCATTCAAAATAGATGGTCAAATAAAGAGCTTCCCAGACAAAAAAAAAAAAAAAAAAAAAAAAAAAAAAAAAAAAGACTAAAGGAGTACATCACCACCAAGTACCATTACAAGAAATGCTAAAGGTGCTGCTATAATGTAAAGAAGAAACAGAGCCAAAACCAGTTTGGCTCAGTGGATAGAGTGTCGGCCTGTGAACTGAAAGGTCCCAGGTTCGATTTCGGTCAAGGGCACATACATTGGTTTCGGGCACATCCCCAATAAGGGGAGGGAGTGCAAGAGGCAGCTGATTGATATTTCTCTTCATCAATGTTTCTAACTCTCTATCTCTCTCCCTTCCTCTCTGTAAAAAATCAATAAAATATATTTTTAAAAAATAAGAAGAAACAGAGAGAGAAACCTAGCTATACAGAATTCAAATGATAATAAATAAGTACCTATCAATAATAACATGATCAGGTCTTATGGGTAAGAAGATAAGAATACCCTAACATCTCTTCCTGTTTTTCAGTAACACCTTTTTTTTTAAAGCAAAACAAAAATGATTTACAAAACAATTAGCAAATCCTAAAACAGGTTTGTTAGCTTTTTTCTGTGAATAAAGTTACCTGGATGATATTTGGAATGCTGTTGCTCATTAATAGTAGTTAATATTATAACACTGTATGTCACAGATTGTTAGGTGCTTTACTCTTCCTATGAGTCCTACAAAATTAGTTTTATTATTCCCTACTTTACAGAGAAGGAAAGTAAGGTTTGGAGAGGCTGTGATTTGCTCTGTGCCACAAACAGTATAGATCCAGGATCCCAACTACAGTGATGAGTCCCATTAGGGGATGAGGCAGTTAGGATAACAGCTTTCAGTAGACCTTAGGAAGTGTATTCACAAAGCCCTGGTGTTAATTTTTTTTTTCTGGTGTTATTGTTAATTTTTTTTCCCTGGTGTTATTGTTTGTTATTTTTGAAGGGAGGGCATGGAAAAAATATCCTGTGATTTAGAAGAAATGTGAAATAACTGTGGTTGCCCTCTGCATTTTTGCGTTCTAGTGGGTATAGGCATGACCCTTTTCAAGTCTTTGATAATTAACTGATGGAAAAATAGCCTCCAAGGTACGTTGCATTTTCTTTTCAGACACTTTCTTTTAGCTTATTTATGTTCCTGCATCTCTTTGAGTTGCTGCTTTTCATTGGTTGTATATTTCTTTGCAGAGATATTCTTCTATGATCTCTAAGGTCCCCCCCTCCTTTTTTTTTTGCCAACTTAGATTAAATTCTGTTTAGAGATGTGTTTTGTTTGATACCACTCTGTTGATTAAATGCATTTTCCATTCTTCTAATTATTTTCATAGTTAATTCTTCTTAGGAAATGCAGTTTATATACATCTTTCTTAAAATAGAAATTATTGTATTTTCATTCTCAATTAGAATTCTATTATCCTGAAAAAATTTTTTAGTTAGTGATCTATGACCTTCCTCTTTAGAAACTGCATCATGGTTTCTTAATGAATGGGGTGGGCTTCCCAAATGCTCACTTGAATTATCTGTCTGTTAATCTGAGGACTTAACCATAACATAAGATCAGGAGGCAGACCTGTGTCTAACCCATCTAGAGCTATTTTTGGAGAGTTAGTTCTTAGAAGATACCTCTAAAATATGGTTGGGTTTTATATTTATTGCCAATCTAAATATCAGTAGCATTTGAAATACATGCTATCTTTATGTTTTAATCTATTGCTGTTATTTGTCTGATATTTAGTGATGAATGACTGTAGAAGATAGTGGCAAGTCAGAACTGGAGTTCAAGAGACCTAGTATTTGTTGACCTACAATAAGCTATAGAGAGATGTTTTGAAAATGTGACTTTTAGATAAGCAACTTAAAGCTTATTGGAATTAGTGCTGATGTTCTTTACAGGAGCCATATTTTGAATCCAAATTTCTTGGGTTAACTTCTATAAACATATACCTATCCTATCTAATAAAAGAGTAATATTCAAATTGGCCATACTTCTGCTACACCCACAAACCACGCCCACCAGCCAATCAGAGCAAGTATGTAAATAAACCAAACCAAGATGGCTACAGCCACAGAGAGCAGGAGGGAGGCTTGGGTTTCCCCGGCAACAGAGGAAGCCAAGCTTTCTGCCTGCTCTTGCAGGCCTAGGCCTCTACTCAAGGATACAAAGTTTTAATTATAGAAGGTAAACAAATCCAAACA